TTTGGCACTACGACTGTGTTGGAGATCCATCTTGGGTAGTGTACTTCTCTAATTGCTCCTGCCTCCAGCAGGTTACCTACTTCTTCCGCCACTATCTCAGTGTGGTGGAGTGCCGATCTGCGTGTGGATTGGATGATTGGTCTGGCGGATGGGTGGACATTAAGTTGGTGACAGATGAAGTTTGGATCAATGCCTAGCATGTTGTAGGGCGTCCAGACGAACACTTCGATGTTAGAGGTTAAGAATTCCAAGACCTCTAATCTTTCAGTGCTGGACAACGACGAACCGAGCAAAAAGAACTTATCCGGGTTCTTTTCATCTATTTTTACCTCTACCAAGTCCTCCACTGCTTTCTGATCCGCCGCTTTGCCGACATCTGCGAATAGCTCATTGCTCTCAGGTTCTTCCACCGAATGAACGTATCCTTTGGCAGCGCGGCTACCATTCACCGTGACGAAGCATTACTTCGACATGATCTGATCTCCATAGACTTCTTCAATTACCCCGGTATCGTTGGGGAATCGCATTACTTGGTGGTAGGATGACGCCACCGATCGCATGGCATGCAGCCATGTTCTGCCCAAGATGATGTTGTAAGTGGAGGGGACCTTCAATACCCAGAATTCCACTTGTTTCGTCACGCTTCCTACTCTGACTAGAAGAATTATTTTGCCGATGGGCCATTCTGGCATGGAGTTGAATCCAATTAGGGGAGATACGGTTGGCGCCAGGTCCTTGTCTTATAGCTTCAATTGTTTAAATGTTTCGTAGTACATGATTTCACATGAACTACCCTGGTCAATCAAAATCCGCTTGACGTCAAAATCCTTGACTCGGAGAGTGACGACCAGGGCATCATTGTGAGGACAATATATCCGTTCCAAGTCGTTATCCGAAAAAGACATGACGTTTGTGTCCTCTGTCTTCCCCTTCTTGATGGCAGGTTGGACACTTAGCACATCTCTTAAGTGTTCAGCCTTTTTGATTGATCCCCTGAGCTCGCATACGCGCTCAGGTTTAAAGACTCCATGTATCACATTGATAATGCCTTGAGGTGGGGCGTCGACTGGCATCCCGTTGGGGTTATTATGGTCTTGGGGGGCTGGTTGCGTCCCTCCTTCAATGTACTTATCCAAGTGTCCTGCTGCCACCAGCTCCTCCAGGTGCTGTCTTAATGGCGTGCAATTTTCAGTGCGGTGCCCCTTTTCTTTGTGGAAGGTGCACCGTGATCTTTCGTCATAGTCCTTCTGAGCTTCCCCTAGCTTGGCTGGCCATCTGACGAAAGGCTCATCTCTTATTTCACTTAGAATTCGATAGATCGGTTTCTTGAAGATCGTGGTTATGGCCGTGCGAACCCTCAACCATCTTTTATCCGGGTCCTCTCTATTGTCACGCCTGCCACGTCTGTTTCTGTTCTGACGATCTACCGCATTGACCTTTGCTGAGGTTTTCTTTTCTAGTACTGTGGTCGTGCCAGATTTTATTTTGGCACGTGCACCATCTTCTTCTACCCTGATGTGCTGATGCACTCTTTCCATCAAGGCTTCCATGGTGAGGGGTAGTGCCATGGTGATTGAGTCTCTTAGTCTATTCCTGACTGGAAGGCCTCTTTTGTACTGTGCAATGGCGAGATTGGTAGGGCAGTCCCCAATTTGGTTGAATGTCTCCCTGTAGCGATTATTGTAGGACCTTAATGTCTCTTTTTCGCCCATGTCAATGTAGAGTAGCTGGTCGATCTCTACTGGGGTTTTGGTGTTTGTTCTGAACCTTGTGACAAACGTTTCTGCCAATTGTGCCCAGGAGGCTATGCTGCCTTCTGGAAGTTTTTCAAACCAAGTCAAGCCTAGATCGCCAAGGCTTGATGGGAAGATGATGCATATTAGAGCCTCGTTTCGCCGATATACCGCCATGACCTGGCGGAAGTGGCTTAGGTGAATGTAGGGATCTGTCTTCCCCTCGTACGTAGTGAATTTGGGCTGAAGGAAGCCTGTAGGTAGGGGCGCGTTTTCAATTGCCGGAACGAACGGCGAGGTTTGCAGCCTTGCTAATGCTTTGTCCGTCGGTTCGTAGGCAGGGTGTGGTAATGGCATTCCAACCTCGACGCTTCCATGGGACCGAAGAGCCAATCGTTGAAGGGCAGAAACTCTGCGAGGGTCGCGCGCCCTGGTGTCCTCCTTCCATCGTGCCTTTTCTTCCAGCATGATCCGCAAATCGGATGATTTGGGCAACTCCGTCTATTTGGATGATGTTTGGTGCGAGTGCGAGGGTCGGTAAGTACTTCCCTCCGTGTAAGACCTTAATAATCTCGTTCTCTCAGACCTGGAGTAACGAGTTCTGGAGGTTCTAGACTGAGTGTCGCCTGTCCTGAGGCTTCTACTTTCTGCTTGTGATGGTGTTGAATGCCTTGTATGGTCTTCTGAGCGGCGAGGGGGCGTCTTGTTTTTGCGCCCCTCTCCTGCCGCCACTCCTTTTCCCTTCATCTGGCGCTTCAAGGCTTCCATGTCGGCCGCCATCTTCCTTATTAATTCGTCTTGTTCCTTCACGCGGTCCTCCAGAACTTGAAGATCAACCCTCCGCCTTTGCTTGTCAGGACTTTGTGAACGAGAGTGACGGGGGCTGTGAGTCCGCCTTCCCCTAATATCTCTTTTGGGGTTGTGCCGTTGGGACTCCAAGTCCGCCATGGGAGGGATAGAAGGTAATCCTTCATGCCTTGCGCCCCCATCTGGAGTTTGCCCGTCGATGGCGGACTGTGGCAATTCTTCAATGTGTGCCATTGTTCCTAAAGAGGTAAAACTTGATCAAGAGGTTTTGTCCTGTCTAATTTTCCCACAGACAGCGCCAATTGTACGGGAAAGAAATAAACCTTCTCGTATAATCCTGTTGATCAAGTCTGTGCTCCTCTGTATGTCGTCGCTTTATCACCTGAAAACACAAACGTGAGCTAGCTGGCGGGTGTGTGCCAGAAACCTCTCCGATGCCTAAGTCAGTAAGCTTGACAAATAGACAAAAGCTCTGTGTATTCAGAAAGTAAAGTTGTGTGTTACCTCTCCAAAGGTGATGTTTGTGAGCTCTTATAGATTTCATGTGGCACAATCCTAGTAGGACTTTTACTTCTCCATGCAGAGTCCTCCTAGGATTCATACCCCTGAAAGATAATACTTATCCTTCAACACCCCCCTCACTGCTTAAACCAAGTGAGATGGTTTTTACAATGGCCGAACTCCAACGTGACCGAAGTAAACATGACTATGCATAGCTGCAGAATAAGCTGAGCTAGCTCTTCCTTGTACTGCTCTTACGTCGGCTTCTCACGCACAACCCATGGCGTGGTTAGACCGAACTAACATGTCATGACCGGTGTAACTCTAAGACCGGTCTAACTCCAAAGTACCGTTAGACTGATCTAACTTCGATCTTTTGTCGGACCGGACTAGCTTCACGACCTTAGGACCGGACTAACTTCAAAATATCCACACGACCGGAGTAACTTACATGGCCATTTTACTCGGCCCTTTGTACTGCGGCTCATAACGGCCCATTACCCAACTCGGCCCAATTTTCACATAAATTATTCTCTCACTACTGTAACTGTCTCTCATGTAATTCACAATCCAATTTTCGCCGATCTCATTAGGGCTAGATGAACATAAAGATGACTTCACAACTTGACTTAATACATAAAAGACTAGTTATCACAACTGAAAGTAGAGGATCAAAGTGTGTTTTGGTGAAAATTTAAATATATTGTGTAATTAACTCAATTGTTTATAGGGAAAAAGATTTAATATAATATAATTTTATGGAAATACTTGATTTTAAATGGGTAAATTAAACTATTGATACATTTAATATAAGAGAAATTGCACTTTAATTTTCATAATTCAAACGCCTCCCCATCTCCCCTTCCAAAAATAAAAACAAAAACAAAAAACTATCACCTCGGCCCAATTTTCACATAAATTATTCTCTCACTACTGTAACTGTCTCTCATGTAATTCACAATCCAATTTTCGCCGATCTCATTAGGGCTAGATGAACATAAAGATGACTTCACAACTTGACTTAATACATAAAAGACTAGTTATCACAACTGAAAGTAGAGGATCAAAGTGTGTTTTGGTGAAAATTTAAATATATTGTGTAATTAACTCAATTGTTTATAGGGAAAAAGATTTAATATAATATAATTTTATGGAAATACTTGATTTTAAATGGGTAAATTAAACTATTGATACATTTAATATAAGAGAAATTGCACTTTAATTTTCATAATTCAAACGCCTCCCCATCTCCCCTTCCAAAAATAAAAACAAAAACAAAAAACTATCACCACCCGTTGTAATTATATCTGCAATGTAATCTCTTCTTCAATTGCCTTTGAGATTTTGAATTTAAAAACAAAAAAATGTGACTTGCGACTCATGTGGAAAAAAAGATTTTATTGCCCTATTTTATAAATTAATAAAGTCATATTTTATATAATGAGAATTTTTACATAATTTTATAAATTTAATCTCAACTAATTAATATTATCACACTAGTCCACAAACAAACGTAATTTATATTACATTAATCATTCACACAACAAGTGAGTGACACACACAAAATATAAAATTATTAGGGTAATTGATGAAAAAAAAAAAAAAAAAAAAAAAAAAATATCACTAACTCATTTGAAAATTAATTATTTTAATAATTTTTTAATTTTTTATAAAAAAAATGTCAAAAATAAAATAAAATAATGTAAAACAACTTATAATGACTTTCTAAATTTTTATTAAAGAAAATCTTTCTTTTTTTTTCTTGACCCCACCACTCCGATTGGGATTCATCAATTTTTTATTTTTTATTTATTTATTTTTTCCTCCTACCACTCGCTAAAAAACCGCTAAAAAAAAAAAAAAGATGTCCATCATTTCTGTTTATTAAAATAGGCAAGCGACAAATGAAATCTAAAAATAATAACTCATCCAACTTTAATTCCACAAACAAAGGCGCTAATGTATAGTTGTTGTTGTTCAGTATTCAACTGGACAGGCACACACAACGTAGCAAGAGTATCCAAAGCCGGTTTCAACAACTGCATTTCGTCGAACGCCATTGATACAATCCAAGGTACAAGCCCATACAACATCACTCTCTCTTCCAACGAGACTTACTACTTCATCTGCGGCGTCGGTCCTCCCTGCACTTTGGGCCAGAAAGTCTCCATCTCCGTCGGCAATAGCAGCGCCGCCGCCAGCAACGCCGGACCTCCGCCGCTCACCACCGCAGGAGCAGCAGCGTTTTGGGCAGTGGTGGTGGGTCTGCTGGCCGTGTCTCTTTCATCATAAGTTGAATGTAAACGTAAAATCTTGCCCACATTTTGTTTTGTCGTGTTGTGTTGTTTGTAGTGTTGAGATTATTTTATATAATACAATCTAAAATCTAGTTTTTTTTTTTTTTTAAATTTTAAAAAACCAAAAATTTATTGAAATTAGGGGTGGGTGCGGGTCGGTTGCGGCCACGGAACCTCTAATCTGCCATTCATTCATCAGATTGGCGGATTGGAGAAAATTAATCCGCATCTGTCCGCCAATCTGGCGAATGTAGATTGAGCGGATTGTCGGATGGATGCGAATCGATTTGGCGATTTAAAATTTTATAAATTTTCAATATAATTCAACTTATGTACTTCCTTAAAAAAATGAAGAAAGTATTACAGTCAACAACTTAAAAAAATATTACAATCACTGCATGTCTCATCCAAAGTAAAAAAATTTGAAACTTTAGAATATTACATTCACTGCATGCCTCATCCACATAAAGTATTAGAATTTGTGGTTCTTAAAATATAAAAACAATTCAAACTACCAAAACCATGAACAGAGTAGTAGTAGAGATTGTATGTCTCTGTATTATTACATCTATATCTGTTTGTGAAAACAAAAACCAACTAGCATGCATCATATTTTCTATTTATTATTTTTAGAGATAGATTTAAAAATAAAAAAATATAGATAAATAATACGTTTATTTTTTTCAATTCAAAAAAGATATTCAAGTTGAAAACTTTTTTTCAATAAAATATTTAAACTCTTTTTTAATTGAAAACACAAACATAATATTTAAACAAACTGAAAACACAAAGTCTTATAAATTATTAAGGGTGTTTGCAGTTTGGCGGTTCGGTTGCGGCCAAAAGAATCTCAAATCCGTCATCCGTCCGCCAGATTGGCGGATTAAAAAAAATCAATCCACAACTATTCGCTCGTCATTACATATCCGTTTAAAATGTGATAAATCAGTTCAATTTAATCAATTTTAACAGATTAATATAACCGCTGCTCATTCCTAATTAGAATGTAAGAAAGTAATCGGAGATTGATTGCGAATTGTTTCATCAATCAGAATGAATGCGTGAACTCTGACGGCTTTCTGACATCATCGTCAAAGCCATGAGTGTGATTTTATTTATTTTTGATTAGTTTAAGATTACAAAAATCATAAATTTAACATAATTATATGGAAAATATTTGTAGACAGAAGGACGAGAAATTATTGATTGATTTTGGAACATCACATGGTCATATCTCATGTTAATCACAAATTTTCATATTTTTTTATATTTTTTAATTGCTTAATACAAAATGATAAGTCTTATTTTTTCGAACAATCACCATTTTTCAGGTCTATTTGAGGTTAAGTATTTCAAACTGTTTAAACTTTAGTGTCTCGAATAGATTATCCATCCCTAATTTCTTATGCAAATATAGCATTCAGGGGGGAATTCGTAATTTCTCAAACCTCAGGGGGGTATCTGTAATTTTGCCAAACCTGGAGGGGTGTATATGTAATTTGCCCTTTTATTTATTTTTGATTAGTTTAAGATTACAAAAATCATAAATTTAACATAATTATATGGAAAATATTTGTAGACTGAAGGACGAGAAATTATTGATTGATTTTGGAACATCACATGGTCATATCTCATGTTGATCACAAATTTTCATATTTTTTTATATTTTTTAATTGCTTAATACAAAATGATAAGTCCTATTTTTTCGAACAATCACCATTTTTCAGATCTATTTGAGGTTAAGTATTTCAAACTGTTTAAACTTTAGTGTCTCGAATAGATTATCCATACATAAAATTAGATTAATAAGATATTACATGTTTGAATTAAATATTACAAAAAAATAGACATCAAGTATGATATCAAGAATAAATTATATATAATTTTAGATTATATCTGATAAAGTTTTTTTTTTTTACTGCATAACCTACTTGAGAGACACTAAAAAAGTGTAATGGTTCGAATCATAAAGCTAGACCCAATATGGTCCTGAAAAATAGTAAACAGTGAAAAGTTTAATAATCAAAAAATAAAAATTAAAAACACTACTCTCTCACATTCTAGATAATCAATTTTTGTTTTTCAATTTATTTAAATTGATTGTCTAGTAAATTATAAATAAAAATTATACCAAATAATTATGTCAGATATTTGTAAATTAAAATAAGCTAATATATATTATTTGTAATTTTAATAATTTAATTGTATGTACTTAGTCCAACCCCTCAAAATAACATAATTATTTTGTGACATCATTTTCAGACGCGTTTTGACAAAATCCCAATCTAATAAAACAAAGTTCTACTTGTTCATAAAAAATCTTGATTTGGAAACATTTTGGCCACGAAACCCACAATTTGATCTAAAGAGCTTTTACCATTTGATTCATCAAATATTTTTAAAACTTTTGGAAATTGGTCATAAAATCATTTTTCACAAAGATCAAATAACTCAAATTGTTAAATGATGGTAATTTATTTATTTTTATTTTTTGGTATATGTAACCTCTACAATAAGAAATCACATAATAGTTTCACATTTTTACAAAAAAAAAAAAAATTGAAGCAATGATATTGAAACTACAGTAGTTTCTTTTATTTCTTTTATATTTTTGGGGGGTAAATGTTTAATCTTTTATAACGAGTAAGTTCCAAGGTAATGATATTTTATAACTCAATCCAACAATTAAAACTGAATGAATTAAATAAAAATAGATAAAGTATTTAACAATTAATATCCGTATTACTTAAAATTTTAAGCATCTCTTAAAAATAAGACAAATCATTAAGTTACCTATTTATTATTTAATTTAAAATGTTTGATGCTTAATTTTTTAAGCTCTTACGATTATGCAACCATGGAGGTGTACCAACGATGCTCCGGCTACTCTCTTTACACTTCTAGAGTGTAGATCTGCACTCATGGAATATAGATTTGTAGTTTTAGAGTGTAGATTTAGACTTTTTATATTTGACATATAGATTTTGAAAGCTTTCTCCCCTAATTTCGATATAAATTTTTAAATTTTCGACACTCACAATAGCTCATTCCTCTCTCAAGCCTTCTCCCATACCATTATGTGTGTACTTTTTCCTCAACTCTAGCTTCTGACAATGTCTGGAGTACAGCGGTGGCGGAGTTGACTAGTGGCAACGAAGACGATGTCGACGGGGATGGCGAGATTTCAGGCAAATCTTACTTGGTTTGATGCAAATCTTACTTTCTAGACCACATCTTTAAGAAGATCGGTGATTTTCCTTATATCATAACTGATTTTTTTGACAGATTTGTTTTTTGCTTGTTTTTTTTGTTGTCATATGATTTTTATGGCCCTTTGGGGTCTTATTTCTATATATATGTTATTATTTTCAACATAAATGTTTTCCATGTTCTCAAAAAATAAAACATTGAGGTGTACAATCCTCACTCCTCACCAATGTCACAATCATTATCACCGCCACTACCACAATCACTCCACTATCACTGCCGCCACCACTATTGCCACAACTATCCCACCATATCATCACAAACACAAACACCTCTACCGCCATCACACCACTACCACACAACTACTAGTGTTTCTACCACTACCCCTACTAGTACTCTCCGCTATTGCTATTGCTGTCATCAGCCCTCTACCTCCACCATCATGCCACCATATTTTTGCCACCGTTATTCCGTTACCACCACTATTGTCGTCATCACTCAACTACTGCCTTTGCCAACTCTATCCTATCTTGCACAACCATCACCACCACCATCACCACCACTATTTTACCACCACACACCATACCACCACCACCAAAAATACAAAGGGTGTAAAATTAAAATTAAAAATTAATAAATTTCATTCTCCAACTTTTTTTACATATCAAACAAGATGATTTAATTCAGCACTTAAATTTCAAAAAATAACAAATAATTTTGAAGATTATAAATTCAATATTCTATTTTCAATACTTAATTTTCAAATTTCAATTTTATCGAACAACTAGAGTTCATCTGAAATATTTCTGTAATAAAAAGTGGAAACTGAACAGATTTTTTCTTCTTTTTTTTATAGGTAAATTACAAATACACCTTGAAAATTGACTGGGCGGTTATGGAGGTGGAGGCAACATGGCGGCTCCTCTCTTCTCCAAAATATCCTCATGTTTACAGTACGGGAAAGTATGGACTGCCAATCAATGGAGCATTGCTCCAAATCTTATCAAACTACATACTACAGAGTTGGGGGAAGTTTGTAATTGGAAGTATGCAATAACGATCTTAGTACAATAAATCCAATAATCACCAAAAACAACATTAGCAGTACCAAAATTGGCAGTAGTGAGGATCAGATCAGATCAGAAACAGATTTCAGAATGCATGCATTAGCATCAGGTTTTAGGATCCTATTGTGTTATGTCAATTGTACATTGGATAGTTGGAGGGGTTTATAGGATCAGATCAAGGATTGAGAAATCCTACCGAAAAAGACTTGTCTACTTCAGTACCGAACCAGTAAAGTTAAAATTGTTGAGAACTAATTCATTATTACAATGCGCTTGAAATGCACGCTAAGAAACGTTGCTTCTGCTGGCCTTTCTATGCAACAGTCCACCAGTAGCAGAAGATAGGGTTACCATACATACAAGAGTCATCTAGTTCTTAAGGAAGCTCTTTCTTTCTTACCAGTCAAGTAGTACAACTTGACTGCGTGATCATCATGTTTTGTAATTGTCCTTCGATTTGAAGAAAAACATAAGGATACTATAAGGAATGTCCTTTAAACTACGGGTAGAATTGCCAAATGCAGGCTAATATTGATGACCAAGAAATATAGCAGAGCGACAATTGTTACTATCTTGACTATAAGGAAACATAATCCAAGCAACATATAGCACCTATATGGAGAGGTATAGATGTAATGCAGGAGAAACAACAAAAAACAAATAAAAATAAAAATTCTTATATATATGATTATGCCTACAGGCAACAATGCGCGCCTACTCCAGAGATGACATGTAATGTGGTTTACAATATTTTCTACTAGGATATTTCATACAAGGGCCAAGAAGGCATTGTTCCATTTCCTCCTTCAATTTTACAAATTGGGAATCTAGCGTTTATAAAATGGAATTGACTGAGAAAAATACAATCCACTAAACCAAAGCAAAAAAAAATGTCCCGTGTTTACAAGAGCATATGTTCCGTCAAGTCAAGAATATAACTTTTGCTTTATAAAACCAAAATTCCATTGACTAAATCCTAACCAAGCATAGCTTTATAGGTTGGATGGTTGACAGGTTCAGAAAGAGTGAAAGATCAATCAAACCCAACAACATGACAATTAATTCAATGAAGCTGCTCAGAGAGATATCAAAGTAACTGCTTATCACTCACAACAAATGTCAGGAATTTTCTTTTCTTTTTTGCTTTTTTCCCTTTTAATTCAACTATTTCTTGGTTAAGAGTTAAGACTAAGGCCTCGTTTGGGAACTGTTTCTTTTAGTCTAAAAGCCAAAAAGTTGCTAAAAAAATCAAAAAGCCAACAACCTATACCAAAAGTCAAAAATTTCCTTTTCTCTCTACTTTTTGCACATCTTTTCGTAAAAAGTCAAAAAATCATCCCAAACATACTAGTTTTTTTTAACTCATATTTTAGCCAAATAGCCAAAAAGTCACTAAATTAGCCTGTTCCCAAACGAGACCTAAGTGGAGAAGAGGTTGTTCAGTTTAAATAACGAAGTTTTATTTCAACCTGCAGTACCTAAAAAGAACGGACATGGGCATTGGCACAAAAATTTTCAAAAATATAAGGCATGATATGTGAGAGACACATGCAAAATTGTATGTCATATTATATATATAAGGATAAATAATTATTATATATTGTATGTATGAATATTTAAGTTAAAGATAATATTTTTTAAAATCTAAAGGAAGAGAATATGTATAAATTTATATTGTTTTTGTTTTATCATTAAATTTCAAGTTATTTTATTTTAACTTGTAATGTGTTTTATATGTGTCTAAGTGTTGAAAAGTGTCCAATCAGTGCCGTGTCATGTCACACATTACCTTCTTATTAATGTTTGTGCTTCTTAGTACAGTACTAATCTAATCCCAAGTGACTCTGTAATTCTTCTTAGATGGTTTGTTGTCTTTATCCTATTTCAGTAACATAATCAGTTTATAACTTGCCTCTTTGACAAAACTGCTACTTGGAACTCGTCAACAGCATGCAGGCAAGTTCAGAATCAAAATGTACATGAATATATAGGCTCCAAAGAAATCTCCAACGATATATACCGAGGCAACTCAGATTTTTTTTCTCAAAAATTGGATGATACAATGCAAAAAGATTGTCTACAAACCTGGCCTTTTCATTCGACCAGTAAACTGGTTGGACCTAAGCTCCGGTTGCGAGAAAAATAGCTCATCCTCCGTGTTGTTATTAAACGGTGCCTTGCGCTTCCTAATTGCTGCTTCTGCATTCTGATCTTCACCCTCAAAATTCCACCGACTTTTATGACACTCCAAGGGATTATCAGTAGTAGTCTCCACGGGAAAGAATGAAAACTCCTTGTTGCGATGAGGAGACAAACTGCTTAAACCAACATTATCAGTTTCATGAGCCAAAACTTTTTCCGGGTTCATACACGGATCTTTAAACAAACCCAACCGCAAGGATAAATCAAAGCCTGTTTCGGGTGCCTTCTCATGGTTGTTTCTGAAATCAGCTTGACTGACTCTGTTTGATGCACTTTCATCTTTCTCACAGGAAAATAGGTTTTGCAAGCAACCCATTTTAGCAGGCTCCGTCATTGATTGAAAAACCGGAGTACCAACAATTATGGCATTTGGGTTTCTTGGGACTTGAAAGCCCATCTGGGGCATGGCCATTTCAGGTTGAAAATGGGGGCCGTAGTACAAGGGATAAACCGAACCCAAGTTTTGTGATTTGTTACTTTCCCATGGCATAAACCGATTGTTGCTAGAAGGAGGAACTTCCACAGATGGCAAAGGAAAATTGCATGAACTAGTGGGGTTGTTTCGATTTTTTTGCATTACATTTTGGGTAGATTCTATAACTAAATGGGATGAATTCACGGCCACAGGTCTCACGGGGGTTAATTGATTTCCAGAGTGGGCCGGTAGTAACTGCGGGCTTCGCTCAACGGTAGTGTTATTCAAAATTTGAGGAGGTATACAACCAGGTTCTTGAGTTCTTGAGCCGAGGTAACTTCTTGGACTCGCGTGTTGTTGGCTTCGGGATGCTCTTACTGGAACACAACCCAAATTAAGGGCAGCTGAACATCATGGTGAAGAGGTACAAAACACAAAACAAAATGTACAAATTAAATTTACCCATTTGAAAAACTGTTTCTTTAATAGCAAATGAACCTTCTAAATTGAAATGGCATTAATATTGAGCTCATCTACTTTCAAAATGAGAAAACCCATTTGCAGAATATCATTAAATAAAAAAGTGTATATGAACAATAAATGGGTAATTGGTACCTTCAACACAAGGCGGCAAGAGATCACCAGTTTCAGTGCTCTCATCTCTCCTGATGATTGTATTAATCGCATCATTAACCCGGTTCCAAAGTGTTTCAAGATCCATATACTCAGCCTAAGCAATGCAATATTGTTCAAAATCAATGTAGTGAAAACCAAACTAAGAAGCACAAATCCAAGAAATCAAACCCAACCCAAACTAATTTCAACTGAAATGAATGAGAAAAACCTCAGAATTGGCTTTGGAGTACATGATTTCCTCTGCTCTCAATACCACAACAGGTAATTTCTCTTGCCATTCTTTGTTTTTTTTAGTAACAGGGCCGTGACTCTCATGTACAACTCTGATCAAACACATGGTGGGCATTCAAAAAAACAGCACAAAAACACACATTTTAAAGAGAAAACACAAGATTGAAACACAAAAATTACCCAGTACCTGAAAATCTGTTGAATGATTGAACCTCTCATGGGTTGGTGTCTATCGCTGTGCCAGGCCCTCCTCACACACTCATAAGGTCTTGGCCCTGGCCTAGGCATCTTCTAATCACAACTGGGTCTCTGAGAGAGAGAGAGAAAGAGAAATCTGATTTAGAGAGAGAGAGCAATTCTCTACATGGTTGTGAAATTAAAAGGGTTTTTCATCATGAATTTGGAAAACCCAGTTGCAATCAAGAGAGAGATGAGAGATTTTACAATTTTTTTGTGCAAATATTGTGTGTTTGTGTGTGTGTGTGTGTTACTTTCGGGTACAATAATGGAGTTGGGTTTACCAATGGTGTGATGTGCCTCCCACCCCAATGCAAAAGAAACCCGCACCCTCACAAGTCACTATTCACAAACTGTCTGTATTGTGTTGTGTGCAATTAAGGGGGGGCCACACACTCTCTCTCACTCACTTTCTCTCTCTATATATATGAATCCATATCTCTAACTCTGTGCAAGATAATGGGGGGAAGGGATTGCCCACCTTTTTTGTACGAGAGAGAGAGAGAGAGAGAGAGAGAGAGAGGGAGGGGGGTGTTAAGCAGAAGCTCACATACAAGGTCTGTTGTTGTTTGTCAATTTTCATGAAAAAGTGCAAATGTTTTTTCAAGCTATCTTGTTCATGCTGCAGAAATCAGACATATCATGACCTCTTCACATGAGTTCTTAAAGTTTTTGTCATTTTGGTTTCCTTTTTTTTTTAAAAAAATCTTTTGTTAATTACATTAAATTTATGCTACAAATAAACTTTTTTTTTTATCACTAGATATAAGAGTTGTTTGGTGTAATTTATTATAAATAGAAAATTTATAATTTAAACGTAAAAGTTAAAAATAAACCATTTCTCCAACTTTTCAATAATTATTTTTTTGAGAATTACAGAGCCTTATGAGGTTCTTATGAATAGATTGATAAAATAAAAAATAACATTAGAGTACATAGATAAAAAATTGATTAAGTAAAACAAATAATATACATTTTTTGTACGTAAACTAGTAAAAAATAAAAGGGAAAATTGGTCTAGGGTCCCTCTCCCACTTTTCGTAATGGAAGAGATCTACAAAATTATTTTTTGATGTCTAAGGTCCCTAAACATATCTCAGAGAAATTTGAGTATGTCCATTTGTATCCTTGCTTGATTCAAGGCTCTAACTATTGCCAATCTGTCCCATACATAAGAGCCGTCTGGAAGCTGTGGGCACAGAACGATTTCAACTCCGGTGATGGATGTGGCTGCCGCAGTCAAAGCTTCCGCCGACGCAGCTTCCACTGACAAGTCGATGAACGCAGTGTCGCGCAATACCTGGGCTGAAGTCGGGAAAAATTTGTAGAAGCAAACTTACGGTCATTGGTTCTTCTATATCAAGCATTCCAGCATTATTGACCAACATTTCACCATATTCTCCAATGCACCAAACTGCCACTCAGACAAGACTTTCCTGATGAAAACATCAAAAATCATTTTTCACTAATTACTCAAGATGATAGAACTTCCATACCAAATCTTATCCTAAAAAAGAAAAAAAAAACTAAGTACTTGTTCACCTGATGTTTGGACTGCTCTGTACAGAAATTGTACTGTATATCCATGGAGGTTCGAAGCATTGTTTATCACAACAATAAGGGCATGCTAAACTTCATCTTTTACAAAATTTCCTGCCTATTAATAATAGCGTCAGGATCAAAATTTTACCAAATGTGCCATTACCTACATCAAAGAAAGCTAAAAGAAAGATTTAAAAGACAAAATAAAACACAGAATAAAAGAGAGAAATTCCGAAGTGCAGAGAAAATTGTTCAAAACACAGAATTTCTCTGGGGAGAAATTCCGAAGTCCAGAGAAATTTGGTTAAAACGTAGACAGAGAATCCAGAGAAATTTAGAATTTCTCTGGAGAGAAATTCCAAAGTCCAGAGAAATTTCCAGAATTTTTCTGGAGAGAAATTTCTCTGGATGTAATAGGCATTGGCAATCTTTGCTGCTCTTTGTATTATCAGCAAAGAGATGAAATCTAAGAATTATATTGAACCAATATTATACCATGGATTTGCTTTTACTTCTTCTGGTGGAACTTTTTGATGGAGCTTTAAAAAAATAGCCTGTTATTTTTGGACTGTTCTTGTAGGGACTTGTATCTTGTAGATGGATGGAGTTTAATGAAAGTGAGAGTTGTTGATGCTTATAACTTGGAAATTAAAAAAAATCTTCTGTTAAATCAATTGTTGTTTAGCTTCTATAGATTATAGAGTGGTGAGTAACAACAGTTGGAGAAACATGATCATTTTAGCTTGAAAAGTAATTGAACAGTCAATGAAATTTCCCTGGAGAAACCCGTGAAAGTGATTGGGGTTTCAAATCTTTTATGCCTCTTAGTGAACTGTACGATCTTGGCAGAGGCTATCTTGCGAATGATACATGTATAATTGAAGCCGAGGTTGCTGTTCGTAGGGTTGTTAATTGCTGGGCATATGACTCAAAGAAGGAGACTGGTTTTGTGGGCCTGAAAAACCAAGGAGCAACTTGTTACATGAACTCTCTCCTCTAGACCCTATATCATATACCTTCAGGAAGGTTAGTTGTTCTTTTCCAATTTTTTCTCTATCTGGTTACGGTTTGTTTACATGAAGTTATTAGGAGCAGAAGATGATATTGTAGATTGTGTATTCAGGCCATGTATCACATGCCCACAACTAAGAATGATTTACCATCTGCAAGCATTCCTTTGGCTCTGCAGAGTTTATTTTATAAGCTCCAGTATAATGATAGTAGTGTTGCAACAAATTGGTTAAAATGAATCCAGAAAAATCTGAATTTTCTCTGGTTTATAAATGAAATTTGAATTTGAATTTGAAACCAGAGAAAATTGGTCAAAATGAACCCAGAGAAATTTGAATTTTCTCTGGGTTGAACCCAGAGAAATTCTTTGGGAAGTCCAGAATTTCTCTGGACAATTTTCTCTGACTTGAATTTTCTCTGGACCAATTTTCTCTGGATTGATGTTGAGGGACCTTAGACATCATAAAAATATTTGATGTCCTTTATACTATAAAATCATAATATCAGGGACCTTAAAAAAAATACCCCTTTTATTTTTCATCTCACTAAAGTTCAATTAGAGTTTTAGTTTTAGAGGGATGTATTATTATTATTACAAATAATACTACCAACTTTAAAAAATAGGGACATTTACAAAAAATGATATATTTTTATAATTGAAGAGATCAAAATATTTATAAATAAAGAAGGTAAAATGATATGCACTAATAGCTGAAAAAATCTTCATACAATTAACTGAGAAAACAAAAACACAACCAAAGAGACCAAACCAACATCATGCTGAGTACCATGTGTTGATGACCTTTGTGTAGTAAATGTTGCAAAAGATTTTGGAAAATCAGGTACTTGTTGCCACATGATGCTCCAGATGGGTATTTATGATTTTGAATAAAGGAACTTTTTTTTTTTTCTTTTTTTTTAATCAAAACTCATTGAAGCTTTGGTAAATGTTACTGTTTGTCAGTTTGAACATTCATTCTCACTCTCTTCCAATGGAACCAGCTGGCACAGCTCCTTCCTTCATTAGCTACAACTTCAACATCATCTTGTAACAGGACAATGAGTTACACCTACATCAGTGACACATGGTTTGTCTATCTCATCCATTTCATCAACATTTGGCATCCAACTCTAGGTTTTGTTTTTGTCTTTTTTTTCTGTGTGTTTTGTGTCTATTGATAAAAAAATTTCAACAATACATACTCATAAGTTTAACATTAACCAACCCTATCTTGAACATGAATGTGTTTCATAATGAAGAAGAATAAACAACTAAAGAAAGATCCCTAAATAGAAAAGAAAGGTTGGCCTTCTGACCTCACAATTAAGAGTTTACAGAAGTGGCCAAACTCAACTCAATCAGTAAGGTATTTCAACTTTAGATTTTTTTTGTTTTTGGGATCAATCGGTGGGATGATATTTACAAATATCAGAATAATTATATCAAACTTGATAATCAATTAGGTAAGAAAGTCCAACAATATATACCCGTAAGTCCAACAACCACTACATCGATAATTACATTTTGACAATAACTCAATGGAGAATGTATAAGACTAGCCAACTGAACTAAATATATTAATTATTACCACCAGATCTATCTTTTTTTTCATCTGCATTACCAGAAACCTATCTTCCATAACATGATTGGGATGCTTCGAGCATCTCAACCTGAAACTCTACATCTGAGTCGTCAAATATAATGGACAAAATTGACATAAAAACATGCTCCAACCAAGGTACTTAAAGCTAACATAGAATTGGCATAAACTTGGCACGGCATATAGAGATGTCAATTTTAATTCTTTCATTATTTTAATAGTTCATCCCAAGCTTTCAACTCAAACTTCTTGTTTTTGTTGCTTTTTTTGAAGTAAAAAATAATAAAATAATAAATTTGATATATACGATAGAGTACTTGTTTTGAGAGATATCAAATTTATATTAGTCTTCAATAAAATTAGCATACTAATATTTAAAGGTTTGAATAGAAATGTTTGAGACCCTTAAAAAAAAAATTCAATTTGACTTATAATGACGTAACATGATAGGTGTCAAATCTTAATTTGTTAGACACTCAATCATATTACAACATCATTATAAATTAATTTATGAATCTAAATTATAGGGCTCTAGGCAATTCTCATTGTGAAAATTGTGAGGACTAGCTAACTACACTACTAGTCAATATTCTGTCTTGGAGATTCAACAAACTGACAAAATTAAGGTCCACAAGTGAATTTTTAATGTGAACCTAACATCACCCTATTCACTGCAAGTCTGCAACAAATAAAAATACCAATAAAAAAACATTAATTAAGGCTAATGTACTCACAAAAATTCACATGCAATAACATGACAAGGATATTCATCAAACAAAAATCCATTTTATAAATATTCAGTATTGGGCAAGATTAATGTAAACAAGTGCGTCATTTTAACATACGAGAAATGATACACACTTCTAAATTTAGAACTTTAATTTAAGCTCTAATGATGTGGTAAAAAAAAAAAAAAAAACTGTACAAACATCTTATCATAGGTGGAGGCCAGCTCATTAGAGCTCTATATTTAGAGCTTCTAATCTTTTTCTCTTAACATAAAATTATAGGGACCACGTATCCATTTTAGATTGACTGATGTTTTGAAAAGTTAATAAAAAATTGATTTTTTGTAATTTTTTTGTCTTTTTTATATAAAAAACTTAAAAAAACTAAAAAATTAATTTTTTACCAAAGTTTCCAAAGCGCCCTGAGTATTCACAGCCATAAAGTACATAAACTTAACAGACCATAAATAGCAATTACAATTTCGACAATGCTACGTAACTTAAATTTTGTAGTTCAAAAGTGGCTTAAATGGCCAAAACGACGTCATTTTGAGTACAGAACAACATAAAAATGGCCAAAACGACGTCGTTTTGTCGTTTTGGCCATTTGAGCCACTTTTGAACCACAAAATTTGAACTACAAGGCATTTTCTTTACAATTTATAACTATATCAGTCAATTCATGCAGAAGCCAGTGCAATGGAATGCCAACAACACAAAAGCCCTAATGTTTAGGGTGGTTAATACATACAATAAATTATCATTGTTAATTCATGCAATACCATGAAAAACATTTAATTTTTTTAGAGAAGTATGATCAAATAATATCCGCTGATAATTCAAGGGATTTGTTTGCCCGAATTCTAACCTTTATAGCAACGTGGATATAGATTAACAAAAATGATAGAGACTCTTTTTTCTTGACCCTCATAATTCTTCACAGACACATGTCAATGAGTGATAAGAGGAAAAAAAAAACAAAAAATAAAAAACAAAAAGCAAAAAGTTAGTCAATCCCAATACAATGAGGGTGATGGGAGTCCAGGAAAAAATGGATCTTAACCTTTGTCCATAGATTAAGCTTCAAGAGACGTAGTTTCAAGTTTTAAAAAAATAATTAGTGCATTTAATTTCAACTTTTTGAATTTAGTTTTTATAAAATTGAGTTTTTTATTTTTAGTAAATATTTTTAAAAAATTAGCAATTTTTTATTTTTTTAAATGCACTTTACTTATATATATCTAAATAGTAAAATATTTGTGAATAAATATTTTTAAAAATGAATAAATACATAAAAATACAAAAAATATATTAAATTTTTATATTTTTTTATATTTTTAGTATTTATTAAATTTTTTTAAAATTTACAAATACTATACTTTTTAAGTGTATTTATGTTAAGTGTGTTTAAAAAATTAAAAAAAAAAAACTTAAAATATTAAAAAAAATCATTAAAAAAAAATACAGAAAATAAAAAAATAAAATTTTTTGAAAAATATTTTGAAAAACCAAACCAAACAAGCTCCATATCAGATGTGATGTTCAGTTTCATGTCTCATTACGTGCAACTTACTCTTTCCGTTATTCCATCCTACCAATTGTCAAGAAAAAGCACTAATTTTTCATTTTTGGCCCTTAAATTTTATTCATGTTGTCCATCTTTCAGAATTTGGTGAATAAGGAAATCACAAGGTGTAAATCATTTTTTTTTTATTTAATTATTGCTCCTGTTTAGAGTTCCTCAACGCTAGCAATTCAACCTGGTATTCAATATTTAGGCGACTTCAAGAACAAACACTCAATTGATCTGAACCAATCTGAGCATTTCAAAATGCTGTCTATTAGAGAAAATGTTGAAAATTGGCTTAGTTGTGGAAAGTCTACACAAAGCATAGCTATTCTCTAAAATTCAAATTTGCATAATGGTAATTCAGAGACCATTATTGAAGATACCAGATGGCAAAACTAACAAGTATGAGCATAAAACCTAACATAACAATCTGCAAAATTTCAAGGAATGCTCCGAAACAGAACGATCATCAAACAAAGTCAAAAAACTACGTCAGTAACTGTCATCTAGAAACTTGTAACATGAACTACATGATGTCCTCTTAATGTGGAGCAACAGCAGGCTTACTAGGGATCCAGACTGCAGTTTGGATGACTCACCCGCTAGGGTCTCCCCTTCTCTGTGGGTATGAATTTGCTTGCACAGACCGAACACTTCTAACAAGCTTCTTTCCCATTTTGCATGCTTGCCACCAATTATGGTCTTTTTCGAACTTAAGCATGTCTTGCTTCTGAGCCCAACGGATGGGAGCTCAAATCATCCTCTTATAGATCTAGAAAGCACAGCCAAGAAGCCAGCATCATCAAGAAGTATGTATGTCATGATGAATGGATTCTTCAATCAGCTTGAGGCCTTCATATATGAAAATAAATAAATAAATAAAATTTGTTTGGTTTCATTTTCAAAATATGTTTTGTGAACAACACTAAAAACTAATTCGGTGGAAAAAATTACGAACAATTAAAAAACACTCATTTTTTTCATGTTTTCTTTTTTGGGACTGCAAAAACAGTTTTTGAAAATTCAAAAACATCATTTTGGTGTTTATTTTCACCAAACCAAAACTAGTGTTTCCTGTCTTCCCTTTTCTCAAAGGTAACACCAAACACACACAAGACAAGATATGGATACTGATTCCTAAACCTGGACGAGAATAAATAAATAGTCATCTACATTTCCATACTTCATGTTATTTGGCTGCCAATAAACTGTAGGAATTGAAATTTGAAATCTTACAACTAATTGGGGGTTGGAATGGGTAAAAAATTTCAAATCTTCATCTGTACGTAAAAGAGAAAGGGTATAGATTATGTTGACATACTTCAAGACTTCAGACATTCAATGAAAGAATCGCCTGCGACACCGAGCAGATCCAAGCTCCTCATACTCAGCTTTGGTGACACACATCGCTTCAAAATCAGGACTAGATGCCAAAAGCGAACCTCCTCGCCATACACCCAATATAGGACTGGACAAGAAGTGCATGCTTTCATTAATTGACAAGTAGTAACAAAACCTTGTTTGGTTTAGTTTTTTAAAAACTATTTTTGAAATTTTTGTTTTTCATTTTTTGTCTTTAGTGAAGTTTTTTCATATTTTAGTCATTTTTTTACTTTTTAGATGCACCTAAAAAGTAAAATATTTGTGAACAAAAAATACAAAAATGTGCTGGCTTTTTTTTTTTTTTTTTAAATTTGCGGGTTTTTTTTTTTTTTTTTTTTTTGTGGGGGGGTAAAGTGAACTTTTTTTTCCCTTTCCAAATTTGTTCACAAACATTTTATTTTTTAGGTGCATTAAAAAGTTTTTTAAAAAATGACTTAAATATGAAAAAATTTTGTAAAGTTGTTTTTAAAAAAAAAAAAACACTAAAAAACAGTTTTCAAAAACTAAACCAAACAAGGTACAACCCAAGATTGTCTAGGAGAGAAGATTTTACTCTTCTTGAGTCGTTATTTTCACTTGATATTCATCAGGAACCAGAGGTCGGAGCTCCCTTTCTCTGCATTTAGAAATATCAATACTAACTAAAGTCCAAATGGTCCTTGCAATAAATTTTGACATAACTCAAGGGAGTGACAGCGAGGTTAAAGCTTACAGTCTTTCAGCAAATCGGGGAAATAAAGTGCTTCCACCAGTCAAAATAATGCTGTACAAACACAGGTTGGAACAAACAGTAAACAATACCAGGTGATTAGAAACACCCACATGAACACAAGCAATATTTCTTTCAAAAATTAACAATCTAAAAAATTCCAACACTACCTCTCATAGAGTACAGGGTGAAGATAAGGATGGCAGGCATTGACTGCTCGGACAATGCACTCTGCAAGTCCGGCTTGGTTCATTCCTGCAAAACGCCAACAGATCCAAATTTGTAGAAAGTTCAATTACATAAGGACTACACAAATATCAATTGATAATATCATATGAAGGTTTTTCCTCTTTATCCAACATATCCTACGTAAGTATTAATTATACTCTATATTGCATAGACTCTTCAAAATAAATCAAAGACTCGTGTCGTGTCGTGTCGTGTCGGACACCCAATACTCGGACAAAGGTATGGATGTGTCGGATACTTTTCAACAGATACTTCTTATATAATTGTATATAACACTATTATTATATGTACATATTGTTGTATAATTTATATAAATATCTTTTTGACACTGTAAGTTACATATAGCACCATTTTATCTCACATACTTGATTAAAAATATAAAAATATGTCTTTTTTTTGCCAAGTCCACATACCCTTAAATTTATGGTTTGATGAGTCCGACCTCTAGATATGTTTCCGCACCCGACACCCCTACCCAAGTCCATGTCACATAGATTATACTTAAAAACTAAAAACCCACCTCTTTAGATTCTCTTTCTCCTATGCCACATTGTTACAACATATATGAAAACCCAGATCTGTAATTCAACACTTGTCAAGGTGTAAGTGTCTCACAATTCACAACTTGAAGAAATTGCATAATCAGGGTAGCTAATATCTTGCACCCTACTTGCTTCCCATAATGACATTCTTCTATTAAAAAAATATCATTATTTTTAGAGATGCAACTAAAATTTCTAGGCACATGGCCTTAACTTTACCAATGTAACCATTCATTGTTTTTTTCCAATAAATGCATCCACCATTTACATGAGTTGTCCCATAAAGTGAGAAAAGGTCATGTTTCAGTCTTAAGTTAAATAAACATTATGAAAAACCTGACATAAAAGGAAACGACAATCTTTGCGGGCTGGGTTGAAATAATATATGTTGGAATAAAAAAAACTAAGCTATCTTGACCACTCAATTGCTTTTTAAGTTGGATAAAAAATCTAACGTTAAGGTGCTCAACAGATTGGAATGTATTACATACCCAAATCAGCGGGGCGGAAAATCATTTCTGGCACGATGAAGCGCTCATTTGTCAAGCCAAACTCCTGTAGATAAAAAGTTAAAAATACATATATGGCATGCTAGACAGATACCAATTCACAAGGAAAATGAAGTAGTACATTTTTTGTAAGATCAATTTTCATTCTGTCATTTGATTTTCCCGGAACCTCTAGGCGATCCATGCCCTCTTTTGTTTTCAGCTGTGGAGATTGGGCTCCATCCTCCAAATTCAGATATCTCTGTGCTTCATCAGGATCTTTTATATAACCCTTTGTATGTGTAACACCATCAGGAAGCACATATGTGCACCTAAATAAGTTGTCCCTTCCAGAACTCCTGTGAGGGTATTTCAGAAAACAGTTAAAACATCTGAGGCAATGACTGCGTTCCTAAGAAAATTTTGTGCACAAAGCTAAGAGAAAATTGAGCAACATATAAGTTTCAAAAACTGAGGTTAAATGGGACAAAGATTGCTAAAGTATGAGAGCATTAAAACTTCTGAAACAAAGCACACGAGCTCATACAAAGATTCTTGATTCTCGTTCACTTGTGTAGTCCAACAACATGGCCGCTTCATGGCATTTGAAAATGTAGCTATTAGCTTAGGAGAGTATGATATTGAGAGACTCATAATTGAGCTTTCTGTAGACAGCAGTTCCAATCATGCAAACTAGATTAGCCTAGTAAAAGGCACTAGTTTTTCTGAGTTATTTACAAGTATTGATCATATCATATGGATATAATGTAGGTTTGTCATGTTTCGCTCTGTTGTCAATGTACAAAGGAATAAGGAGGATTATTTAGTGGCCTAGTCCTCTGTCTTGGATTTAAAATGTGAGCACATTATTGAGCTTCATTTTATTTTCCTAACCTTTCCCTTTTTCTTTTCTTTTCCCTCCAAAGATCCAAACAAAGCCTTAATAATCATCTAATAGTAAATGTGAAACTCCAAATGACCTACATTTCATTTTACAATCTATTCCATAAATTACAAAGCAATTCACAAATCATTACATATCCAGCAAACACATTGAAGCCAAATTTGTAGTTCTTTTGGGGGGGGGGATTGGGGAAGTTACCTATCAGTGGATTTTTCAAAAAACTAATTACTGAATGATGATAAAGTTTATATTTTTAATTATTAATATTTATAAAGTTTACCACTTGTTTGTAATTACTTTTCAAAACTACCTCTGAAATGAAATTTTCCGCCAAAAATAAAACAAAATCCCAACACCCATTTCAGAATTCACTAACAAAATGACAAATCAACAGAACAAGAAGTAGAATCATACCTTGCAATCTGCAAATCACGCTCAACATCAAGCGAAACAAAGCACAACTTTTCCTTGACATCATCCATAATAAAAGTCTCATCCATGACATTAACCGATCGATAGGAAACCAACTCTTTGAGATAATTGGTCAAAGCCTTCCCACCCAAATCGAGCCTCTTGACGCCATAATTCAAAGTAAAATTCTGAAAAACGGGAGCAGCATGAGTAAAAGAGAAACCACAATCAACGACGAGACTAGTCTGGGTTTTGGAAACGAGGCCATAGGGACTCCGACTGGCCTCGTAGAGGTGAACGAGAGAAGGAGAATCGGCGACGAAGAGGGAGTTGAAGTTGAAATCTTCGAAGACGAGCTCGTCGATGGAGCGCTGAATGGAGGGGAGATTCAAGAGGGGTTCGACGAGGAGGAGAGAGGAGAGAGAAGGGTTTTTGAGGGGGAGGAGAGAGGTGAAGATGTGAGACCAGATGTCGCGTTGGAGGTCGGGGTTGATCAGGTACCCACGGTCCAAAGGGCGGCGGAGGGAGGCGGAGGTCAGGTCGGAGGAGGGGGAATGGAGTTGGTCGCCGATAAGCCATTTTTTCGACGACAGAGGCCGCCCGACACAGTTCGGGACCACGGCGGTTGGCTCTCGCTCGCCGCCGATCCCCGCCTTGATTAGCCCGCCGCCGTTGTCCAGCACCACCACGTTCGACATCTCTCTCTGTCTCTAGTTTGCTTCACTCTACTCTCGTTAGACCATCTCCAACCTGAACCAAATCTGGCATCAAATTTAAAATTGAGCAATGTTAAAGGCTCTAAAAATTCTATTAAAAGTTTTATCAAATGTGTGTGGGTGGGTCCCACACCCATGTGAGACATTTGCTAAAATTTTTGGTAGAATTTTTGATACCTCTAACATTTTTGTTTAAAATTTGGTAAAAAAAATACTTTTTCATGTTTTAATAATTTTACCAAATTGATATCAAATCGAGATTTTACCAAATATTTCACCAAAATGAGGATAGGCTCCGCATTTCATCAAAACACTGTGCATGACCGTTGGGGGAGACCAACCGGTTGACCGGCCGATTGACCAACCAATCGACCATTAAAAGGTTCAAACAGTTCCAAAAAGAAGGTCAAACAGTTTAAAAAAAAAATTTGCCTTACCGGTCGACCAACCGGTCGACCACTAAAAGGTTCAAAAAGTTCAAAAAAAATAAAAAAAATTAAATTTTTGGCTTAATCGATCGACCGGCCGGTCGACCAACCGGTTATCCCGGCACAGATTTGATGAAAATTTGATGAAAATCAACCGTTGGAACACTCGATATCAGATTGAGGAAAAAGTCATTTTTTTATTCAAATTTAATGAAAACTTTGGTTCAGGATTGGAGATGCTCTTATTCAATATTTCCAAATATCCACAAGCTAATCATTATTTAATATGCACTTTATGTTTTTTAATTATTTGATATAATACCCCACTTAGAGCAACTCAAGCCATACTTTCTACTTTTTAGAACAAGCCATACTTTCTACTTTTTAGAACATTTTTAACGATGAATCAAATTTTTCATTAAATATGAGTAAAAAAAAGTTAATTTTTTCAATCTGATATGACTTACTCTAACCGTGCATCAAAAGAGAAGTGGTCGACCGGCAGGTCGACCAGTAAGGCCAATTTTTTTTTATAAATTTTTTTCGAACCGTTTGAGCCAGTAATTTGAACCATTTGAATCAGTTCGCAGGCCAATTTTTACATGAGCCGGTCGACCGGTTGGTCAACCTGGTGGTCGACCAGGGGGTCAACCAGGTGGTCGACCACTTAGTGTAAAATTTTCACAAATTTCTACTTTAATGGCTATGCACAGTGAATTGGTGAAAGGAGCAAGTCGTCCTCAGTTTGGTGAAACCTTTAATGTTTTCTCAATTTGATACCAATTTGCTGAAACCATTTGAACTCCAAAACGTAACTTTTTTACCAAATTTTAAATCTGATGCAAGGTTTGATGAACCATTGGAGATGGTCTTAGGCCAAGTTTGGCAACCCAAAAATAATCCATCTGTTTATCTTTTTTCCATCACATCATTTCTCTACTTTTCTGCATATCTTTTCGTAAAAAGATAAAAAATGCACTTATTTAGGTCATCCCAAACAATCCCTTAGTAGCTAAAATATGGAAAAAAATATATTTTTTATTTTACCTAATTATTTTAGCTATTGTGTTCTCTAACCACACTCTTTATTTTAGTTAATCATTCAAACTAAAGCCAAGTTTGGCATATTTGAAAAAAGACAAAAAGTCAAAAAGTCACTATTCTATTTAAGTCACATCATCTTATTTAAGTCACATCACCTTTCTAACACATCACTTCAAACCCAACCCAAACCCAACTTATATTTCATAAAAAGTCAAAAAGTGCACTTATTTAGATCATCCCAAACAACCCTTAACTTAATTAATTTTAAAAACAAAAAATACTAATTGCTGATATTTTACTAATATAAATTTGCAATAATAATAAATTTGCCCATACAAATATACAAAACCTGTAGAATGAGGAGAAAAAAAATACAAAATAAGTTATTTCGTAATTCATCAAACAAAATTAAAAGAACATATAAAATTACTACATACGCATATGCATATATAAAATCCCAAATCCAAGACATAAATATATAAAAATTCAAGATATATACATACATATTTATTTGGGGGCAAATTACATATACACCCCTCGAGGTTTGGGTAAATTACAGATATCCCCCTGAGGTTTCGGAAATTACATCCCGCCCCCTGAGGTTTGTATTTTCATAACAATTTGCCCCCTGAGGTTTATATTTCATAACAAATTACCCCCTAATTTCTTATGCAAATATAGCATTCAGGGGGGAATTCGTAATTTCTCAAACCTCAGGGGGGCATCTGTAATTTAGCCAAACCTCGAGGGGTGTATATGTAATTTGCCCTTTATTTGGAGAGCCTTTGGGGCTCTTCAATTGTAGCCACTAAAAAAGTAAAATGGTAAAGTAGCTAGCCCAATAGCCAACCCATCAGAGCTCAAAATTAGAGTTATATTGACTAAAATGACATCATTAAACTACTAGCGGTTGGTGAAAGCCGTAGATTTCCTAGGAAGATGGGGAACATTGATAATAATAATTGTAAATGTAAATGTACAATATTCAATACCTTGTCATCCTCATTTATGCCACGTTGATGTAATGATTCAATTTGGGCGTGGCACCCACAAAACTTATTCATGGCAAGCTGAATCGTTGACCATCAATTCATAAGAGAATTCTCATTTTGATTAGACTCAAATTTCTTGCGCTCATGGAAAAAATCCCACACTCTTTTCCAGTAGGTAGAGCGTTTTTGCTCATTCCCGTGTACCGCATCTAAACTAATTTTAAGCCCAGCCGATACAAGGAGTTTGTCTTCTTCTATTGTGAAGTTTCCTCCACGTTAAGGTTTCTTCGACAAAGATTCAATTTCAGCAGTAAATTGAGACTCATGGGCAAAGACTTGAGTATTTTCATTCAAATATTGAGATTCCATCAGATAATGTTCATCAATGTTGGGCCTTTCTTGTAAAAGATTGGTAAAGTAACCATCTTGTTGTGAATCCATACCTATGATTGAATAATATATAAGAATTAAAATTTAAAAAATAGAGCTTATAGCAAGCTGCAACAATTTGAATAGTACAGGAGTTTGTCTTCCCGTGTACCGCATCTAAACTAATATTAAGCCCAGCCGATACAAGGAGTTTGTCTTCTTCTATTGCGAAGTTTCCTCCACGTTGAGGTTTCTTCGACAAAGATTCAATTTCAGCAGTAAATTGAGACTCATGGGCAAAGACTTGAGTATTTTCATTCAAATATTGAGATTCCATCAGGTAATGTTTATCAATGTTGGGCCTTTCTTGTAAAAGATTGGTAAAGTAACCATCTTGTTGTGAATCCATACCTATGATTGAATAATATATAAGAATTAAAATTTAAAAAACAGAGCTTATAGCAAGCTGCAACAATTTGAATAGTACAGGATACAAGGAAGACGACTTCCATATTTTTTCAAGCTAAGAACAACCCTCAGAAAGAGGAAGAAAACACTGCTTTGATAGTTATAGATACAAACACTGCTCTGCTCTTGTTTTAAAAACTTTGTTAATTCTTACTACATTTACTGTAAACCACAGATATTTAAAACAAATAATTAACCTATCATCTCTCTGTTGGAAATGGTAGAAAAATTCTGGGTAAAACCAGAATTTTTTCTCAAGTTTGGTCTATTTTTTAGGTGGGCCCCGAGCATCGATTTACTCGAGTCAAAGTGGTAACGCGTTCTATGCCGCGTTGTGATTCACGTGGTATATTTGGTTGCTCAAAACCATTACCGAGTGAATGGGAAATTGAAGCCAAAGTGTGCACCATGAAAATGGAGTTTTGGTGGAAATTCCTTAAGGTGGTAAATTGGCTTGTCCCACATTGATTTGGTGGGAAGTTTTGAAAGGGTTTATAAGGCTTAGGGTGAGATACTTGGGGTGTGCCCCAAGGGGTACCCAAGTGTTTTAGAGGGAGAGGTTATGGGCAAAATGGGCTAGACCCATTGGACCCAAAAATCACCACACACGCGCGCGCGCATAAACTAGTTTGGAATTAGTGCACACCCAAACAGGGCCCTTCCCGTTTTCAAGCCGCCGCCGTCCGTCCGTCCGGTCGGGCGGGCTGGGCTGGGCCTGGGCTTGGGCGCGGGTGCGTGGTGTGTGGTTGGGTTGGGCTTCTAATCTTTTTGGGCCAAAAATATTTGAATTTAATTTTATTTTTTGGTAAAATAAAATCCAGAATTCAAATTAAACTGATTTGGATTTTCTGTACATCCAAACAGGGCCCTTCCCGTTTTTAAACAAAATTAAACTGGTTTGGATTTATTGCTCATCCAAACAGAGCCCTTCCCGTTTTTTATCTGTTTGATTTATCCACCCAACAGATTCAAATTTGTTTAAATTTGAAACTAACAGGTTTCATACCTGTTCAATTTAAAACCAAGAGTCACCTTTACATCTATAAATAGACTAGCCTCCCATTTGGATTTTACACACAAATTTTTCGTACTCCATCCTCTGCAAATTATATTCTTCATCTTGCTGCATTTTATTTCCGAAAAAAAGAGTGTAAACACTTAGTGTGTTCGCAAGGCAAACAATTACTGCCCTACCGATAAACACTGATTACCGTTAAACTGAACTGATCATGACTGATAATTGAACTGATTAAAAGTACTGAACTGACTGACCGAAATTGAAACTGAATTGAATGAATACATCTGTCTGAATTGCATGTTATCTGTTGACTGTTTGTTTGATCTGTTCATGTCTTATGTTTAAACTGCTAATTGAAGGCCTTATCGGCAGCCGAATCCGGAAGTGATTGATGTTTTATGATCATCATAATTAATGTGATTTTATGGTATATTTATCTGAAAACTGATTAGGTGTGATTAAATTAGATTAAATCTTGATCAATTGCTTAAGTTTGCCTTATTTACCAAACTAGCCTTAAGTGCCCACTACCTCATACACCTTTGAACTCATTACACTTGAATCAAAAGCCATCTCCTCAGCCTTTTCCCTTGTCATTGCCGACTAGAGAGAGAGAGTAAGAGGAAAAGAGTGATCCAACTTGATTCATCTTTAGAATTGCTTGGAATTGGAGGAATTGAAAGCTTAAGTGCATAATTGAACCTCTAGACTTGCATTCAAGAAACCTAGGT